AGTAGTTGTTTTACTCCAGAAGCGGGGAAAAGCAAGTGGAGGAAATTCCTTCCTTCTCTGGTTTAAAACTGGCTTCTCTGGCTTCACTTAGAAGTGGGAAAAGCAAACGGAGGAAATTCATCCTTCTCTGGATTATATCTAGCTTCTCTGGCTTTAAAATTGGCTTCTCTGGCTTGCGCCAGAAGTGGGAAAAGCAAACAGAAGAAATTCATCCTTCTATTGTTTATATCTGGCTTCTCTGACTTAAGCTGAGGCAAGGGAACAGAAGTAAGGGGAAAAGCTGAATCATTTCCGACTCACTTCCTGAGTTGGAAGAAAAATGGTGAGACTAGCTTCGGAAGGGCAAAGGGACTTCCAGTTTCCTAAAAAAGTTGAAAATTGCTTCAAAAAGATATTTTTTCCAAATTTATGCCAAATTACGAAGATTCTGACAGTACCTAACCATGCCTACTGTACAGTAGTTGTCAGTATATAACAAATATACTGTCCCTCACACATAAGACCACAAAAAATAAGGGCTGTAAAGTCCCTGGCCCGCACACACTGTCTGGAGACGGTAACACTCTCCCACTACAGTTCCTGGACCACTTGTACAGGAGGGACGGTATTGCAGTTTCTGGCCACCAGGGGGAGCATGCTTCCAAAAAAACTTTGCTAGGCCTTAGTTTTGGGGGAGGCCTTATATTTAGCAATGCAGCAAAACCTCTACTAGGTCTTATTTTCAAGGGATGTCTTATTTTTGGGGAAAACAGGGTTTGCACAATGGCAGGGCGCAAAGCACAAATACAATATGCAAAGACAATGCAGAGTGGTGTCTTTGCAAGTCCGCTCTTGCCATTATCACCACATTACACCCCTTTGTGCAATGGTGATATTTTGATCCTGGGTCCTTAGCATGACTTCACTAACTGGATGCCAGATTTTAATCCAAATGTTCAAGACAACATCTATTTAAATTCATTGGAAGCAGCAAAGAAAGAGGTTCCTTCTCAATATGAGTTCAGAGGAAGGAAATGGCAAAACCACTTCTGGGTACTCATTGCTAAGAAAATCCTACGAAATGCATAAGGGTCAATATACGTTGACTGGCTACTTGAAGGAACACACAGAAAATGAGGAAAGACAACATTTAGCAAGAGAGACAAATAAAGTGGGGGAGAAAGACTGAGAGTGGAGGGGAGTAGCCAACAATATCTGTTTATACTGTTCAGAATGTTTGGATATTAAATGAGACTTTTCCAACCTGGTACCTAGATATCTAGGACTTGCCAAACTACAATGCCCCGGATTCCACAGCACTGAGCCCTAACATCTAAAGTGATGTTAAATGGCATTCATTCTACAGTTTAGTATTTTGTTCATTCTATCCCATAGTCTTTAGAAGGCCCAGTCTTTAGTGTTGTCAGCATAACATTATCCAAGACCATCTTCCGTGGAAACAAGCGCAACCCTTAGATCTTATCAAGATTTGCATTTCATCAGAAATTCTCTTGTAAAAAACGAGAGCCTGTGTGTCACATGTGATGGCCGATCACCCTACGGCACATCTCCTCCTTCATTTTGTGGAAGCCACATTATAGATGTGGCTGGTTTTGAAAAGGGACCGTCACGGGGACGATGAAAGGCAGAGCTTTGTAAGGAGGGAGACCCTAAAGAAGGGAGTGTTAGAGGAGGAAGCATAGCTTTCATGTTGCATTTGCCTTATCTCTAAGGCTAAGGGAGAGATTCCTGTCCTAACACCCCCTTCACTGGGGGCTCCCTCCTCACAAAGCTCTGCCTTTCATCCGTCCCACAAAAGACAAATTATTGTCGGAAAGAGGAGCCCACCAAATCGGGTCACGGCACTGGGATTAGAAATGGGAAAGCTTTTTTTGCTGATTTCTTATCGCTATTATTATGTGTGACTTCATATGGCAAACTTATCACAGGATTTTATTTGGCAAGATTTGTTCAGAGGCGAGAGAGTGTGACTTGCATGAGGTCATGCAAATGGTTTCCATGGTTGAGCAAGGATTCGAACCCTAGTCTCCAGAGCCATAGTCCAATGGTGAGGTGATTTGCCTGAACTAATCTTCATTAACTCTCATCCCACCTCACAAGCCTGTTGGGAAGGCAAACGCAGCGAGAGAACTAAAGCAAAATAATAATGGTAATAATAATAATAATAATAATAATAATAACAACAACAACATGTCTGCCTACATTGTTCAGCCTGCTGGCAGGCATAATAAACTTTTAAACAGAGGCTGGATGGCCATCTGTCAGGAGTGATTTGAATGCAATATTCCTGCTTCTTAGCAGGGGGTTGGACTGGATGGCCCATGAGGTTTCTTCCAACTCTTTGATTCTATGATTCTATAATAGCTGATCAAATCCAGGATTACTTGGAGGAAAATAATATCTTGCCAGTAGAACAAAAAGGCAATAAAAGAAGAAGTAGAGGCATGAAAGATCAGCTTTTAATTGACAAAATGGTACTGGAGAATTGCAAAAGCCACAAAACAAACTTCTATACAACTTGGGATTGATTACAGAAAAAGCATTTTACTCACTGCCACATTGTTGAATTATCAAATGTCTAGATGTCATCGGGGTTTGTAAAAATATTAGAAAGTTCACCGAAAATGCAATGAAACAATGGAAAACTGAGTTGTTTGTGGGCAACGAAAGCTATGGAACTGTTAACATCAAGAGAGGAATTTTCCAAAGCGACTCACTGTCACCACTGCTGTTCATCATTGCAATGATCCACTGTCAGTAATTCTACAGAAAACAAACCTAGGCTAACAAACAGCAAGAAATACACCCAAACTTTCCCACTTGCGGTACATGGATGAGCTAAAGCTTTATGGAAAATCAGAAACTGAAATCCAGTCACTGACCAACACAGTCAGAATCTTCAGCACTGACATCAGTATGGAGTTCGGCCTAGACAAATGTGCCACAGTGGCATTAAAGAAAGGGGAAATTACACACAGCGAGGGCATAGAGATGATGAATGGACAAACCATAAAATGCAATCAGCCTGAAGCCTATAAATATCTGGGCATACTACAGTTGGACAATATCAAGCATGGGCATGTGAAAAATGTGGTCAGCAAAGAATATGTCCAAAGAGTCAGAAAGGTTTTGAAGAGCAAATTAAATGGCGGAAATACGATCAAGGCTATCAACACCTGGGCCATCCCTGTTATTAGATACACTGCTGGAATTGTGAACTGGACACAAGCAGAGCTGGATGGTCTGGGCAGAAAAACAAGAAAACTGATGTCAATCCTCTACTCATTACACCCGCATAGTGACATCGACAGACTTTACCTGCCCAGAAAATCAGGAGGCAGAGGGCTTCTGCAAGTGAAACAACGGTAGAAGAAGAGAAACATGCACTGGCAGATTATGTGAAAGGCAGTCAAGAACCAACATTGAGGGAAGTCAATAGTAGAAAACAACTCAAAGTGCAAAAGACAAAGAGTGAATATCGTAAAAACACAATCAAGAGCAGAAGAGAAAACTGGCGAAAGAAGGCTCTCCATGGACAGTTCCTGGGAAAAATTGAGAGCCAAATTGGCAAAGAAAAAACATGGTTGTGGCTCACAAGTGGAACTCTGAAAAAGGAGACAAAGGAGGGCCTGATTCTGGCAGCTCAAGAACAAGCCATTAGAACCAATACCATCAAAGCCAGAACTGAAAAGTTGATGACAGATCCCAAGTGTAGACTCTGCAAGGAAGCAGATGAAACAATAGATCAAACCTCAGCTGCTGCAAGAAGATTGTGCAGACAGACTACAAGCAGAGGCATAACACTGTTACTCAGATGATTCAATGGAACTTGTGCCACAAATACCATCTGCCTGCGACAAAGGACTGATGGGATCACAAGCTGGAAAAAGTTACAGAAAATGAACATGTCAAGCTATTCTTGGACTTCCGAATTCAGGCAGACAGTTTTGGAGCATAATACTCCTGACCTCAAGATCATGTTAAAGAACAAAGTATGGATCATTGATGTTGCAATCCCGAGTGACAGCAGGATTGAAGAGAAACAACAGGAAAAGCTGACACGATATGAGGATTTAAAGATCGAACTGCAAAGACTCTGGCACAAGCCAGTAAAAGTGATCCCAGTGGTGATCGGCACATTGGGTGCAGTGCCTAAAGACTGTACTTAAACACAATTGGCGCTAACAAAATTACCATCTGCCAGTTGCAGAAGGCCACCTTACTGGGATCTGCACACATTATTTGCCGATACATCACAGTCCTAGACACTTGGGAAATTTCCGACGTGTGATCCAGTACAACAGCCAGCAAAGTGTCTGCTGTGGACTCAATGGCTACGTAATCTGACATGGTGGTTGTGAGAGTGGTCCAGCATTTCTGTGTTCTCAAATAATATGCTGTGTCCAGGTTGGTTCCTCAGGTGTGTCCAGGTTGGTTCCTCAGGTGTGTCCAGGTTGGTTCCTCAGGTGCTCTGCTATGGCTGATTTCTCTGGCTGAAGTAGTCTGCAGCGCCTTTCATGTTCCTTGATTCGTGTTTATATATAATTCCACAGGTATATAAACCCAATTTTCCTAGTTCCAACAGACCTCACTACCTCTGAGGATGCTTGCCATAGATGCAGGCGAAACGTCAGGAGAGACTGCCTCTAGAACATGGCCATATAGCCCGAAAAAACCTACAACAACCCAGTGATTCCAGCCACGAAAGCCTTCGACAATACATAAAAAATTAAGGCTTCTTTATTGGCATTGTCCCCTCCAGGTGTTTTGGACTTCACCTCCCACAATTCCTAACAGCCGGTAGGCTGTTAGGAATTGTGGGAGTTGAAGTCCAAAACACCTGGAGGGCGGACCCAAGCTGGCCCATACCTGGTGTACAGTAGAAGCACCCTTAGGAAGAGACAACATGGGTAGACCGGGAGAGAGAGAGAGAGAGAGAGAGAGAGAGAGATGGCTTGGGTAGACCGGCGGGACATGCAACCTGGGTAGACCGGGGCCTTTTTGTTCCTTTGGAGGCGGAGCGGCGGTGGGGCCTCTCTCCGCCTCCGGACCTTCCTCGGCCGGCCCGCCCCGTCCCGGGGCGTGGAGAAGGAGAAGGAGAAAGAGGAGGAGGAGGAGGAGGAGGAGGAGGAGAGGAAAGGACCGAGCCGAGGCCAGGGAAGGAGGGAGAGTGGCCGGAGAAGGGGCCGGGATGGCGGCCGACGGGGGCCTGGAGCAGCGGGCGCTGCAGTACGAGCAGACCTTGGTGAGTCCGGCGGGCAACTCTGCGGCGAGGGAGCATGTGCAGAGCGCCCCTTCCTTCCTTCCCTCTTCCCTTCCTTCCCAAGAGGAGCCTGCCCCACTTGGCTTGGCTTGGATGGAGGCGAATGAATGAAGGATTGATTCCCCTCCAGTCCAAGGCAAACGTGGGCAAACTCCAGCCTTCCCTCCAAGTATACCCTCCAGGTGTTTTGGACTTCCAACTCCCACAGTTCTTAGGAATTCCAGAATGACACACCATGGAGCCATTTGAACTGCCACGGCTCAATACTATGGGATCCTGGGATGTGCAGTTTGGTGACTCTTTGCTAGAGAAGACCTTTCGGAAGCTATAACTTCCAGAATAACACATCTCACAGCCAGTGTAGACCAGGCAGAGCAAATAACAAAGCCAGCGGACCTGATGGGATCCCTGCTGAAATCTGTTAGGAATTGTGGGAGTTGAAGTCCAAAACAGTTTTGCAGTGTCAAACTGAATTCAGCCTGCAGTGTAGATGTAGATGTCAAACGGCATCCATTCTGCAGTCAGGCTGTATCTACATTGCCATATAAAATCTGGATTATCTGCTTTGAACTGGATTATAAAGCAGTGTAGACCAGGCAAGAGCAAACTTCAGCCCTTCAGGTGTTTTGGACTCCAACTCCCACAACGTCTAATATTTACGCCATTCTACAATCAATGCCATATAAAATCCGGATTATCTGCTTTGAACTGGATTATATAGCAGTGTAGACCAGGCATTAGCAAACTTCAACCCTTCAGGGATTTTGGACTTTAATTCCCACAATTTCTAATATCTATGCCATTCTACAGTTAGGCTTCATCTACACTACCATATAAAATCCGGATTATCTGCTTCGAAATGCATTATATACCAGTGTAGACCAGGTATGAGCAAACTTCAGCCCTTCTGGTGTTTTGGACTTCAACTCCCACAATTTCTAATATCTACGCCATTCTACAGTCAGGCTGCATCTACACTGCCATATGAAATCCGGATTATCTGCTTCGATCTGGATTATATAGCAGTGTAGACCAGGCATGAGCAAACTTCAGCCATTCAGATGTTTTGGATTTCTAATAATTTCTAATATCTACGCTGCGGAATGAATTCGGCTTGACACGGCTTGCACTGCAAATGCTCAATGCCTTTGCTCCATGGTATGTTATTCTGGAAGTTGTAGTTTCCCAAAGATCTTCTCTGGCAAAGAGTTCTGGGTCCTCACCAAACTGCACATCCCAGGATCCCATAGCATTGAGCCATGGCAGTTCAAACTGCACTCATTTTACACTGCAGATGCAAACTCTCGGAATGTGGAGAAGAGTGCATTTCTTGGGTTGTAGATTGTAGTTTGCCTCCACTTTCACTGGTCTGGAAGTTATCATTTTACAAGGTCTTTAGCCTTTGCTGCCTCTGACAAAGAGTCCTGGGTCCTTACCAAATTGCACATCCCAGGATCCCATAGTATTAAGCCATGGCAGCTCAAACTGTACTCATTTTACACTGCAGATGCAAACTCTCGGCATGTGGAGAAGAGTGCATTTCTTGGGTTGCAATTTGTAGTTTGCCACCAACTTTCTCTGCTGTGGAAGTTGTCATTTTGCAAGATCTTTAGCCTTTGCTGCCAGAGTTCCAATGCCTGACCAAACTACAAATCTCAGGATCCGTGGCAGTGAAAGCGGTGTCAAAATACACTAATTCTATGGTACAGATGCACCGTGGAGATGGGAACCAAAGCTGTGGCTGCTTGAAAGAGTGACAAATGCAGGCTGTGTGCAAGTTGAGTCTCCCTTTCCTACCTTGCGTCCCACTGTGGGAGGAACAAAGAAACAGTTAATATGTGTTGTTGAAGGTTTTCGTGGCCAGAATCACTGGGTTGCTGTTAGTTTTCTGGGCTGTCTGGCCATGTTCCAGAAGCATTCTCTCCTGACATTTCACCCACATCTATGACAGGCATCCTCAGAAGTTGTGAGGTCTGTTGGAAACTAGACAAGTGAGGTTTATATATCTGTGACAGATATATGTCTCAGACAGGAAACAATCAGGGCCAGCTATCACCTCCAAACACAGAATTCCCCCCAGGCAGGAAGCAGCCAGGCTTTGAAGCTGTAAAGCCATTCAATGCTAATCAAGGTGGCCAGTTGCAACACTCACACTTGCCTCAAGCGGACAAGAGTCATTTCTTCCACCCTGGACATTATCCATAGATATATAAACCCCAGAGCCCTCGGTGGTGCAGTGGGTTAAAGCGCTGAGCTGCTGAGCATGTTGACTGAAAGGTCACAGGTTCAATTCCAGGGAGTGGCGTGAGCTTCCGCTGTCAGCCCTAGCTTCTGCCAACCTAGCAGTTCAAAAACATGCAAATGTGAGTAGATCGATTGGTACCACTTCAGCGAGAAGGTAACGGCTCTCCATGCAATCATGCTGGCCACATGACCATGGAGGTGTCTATGGACAACGCTGGCTCTTCCGCTTAGAAATGGAGATGAGCACCACACCCCAGAGTCAGAGATGACTGGACTTAATGTCAGGGGAAAACCTTTACCTTTACCTATATAAACCCCATTTGCCTAGTTTCCAACAAACCTCGCAACATCTGAGGATGCCAGGCATAGATGTGGGTGAAATGTCAGGAGAGAATGCTTCTGGAACATAGTTATACACCCTGGAAAACTCACAGCAACCCAAATAGTTAATACAATGACTCCCAAAGTACTCAAAAAATGTCCACATAGGTCACTGGACACAAACTTTGTTTTGTGCACAGAATTATTAAAAAGATTGTGTACAGAATTACTTCCAGGCTGTGCGTTTCAGCCATGTATGGAACATAAGTGAATGTCATGTTTAGACATGGGTCCAGTTTCCAAGATATGTTCAGTTATTCCAAAATCCAAAACACAGAAGATTTCTCAAGCATTTCTGATAAGGGCTCCTCAATCTGTACTTCATTTTGAGACAAGGCAAGATTAAATGCAGCACTGGTTCTAATGCGACCGACTCACACTGCTAGCCCTTCTAGGAGGAAGAAAAAAGTTACTTTCCTCTGAATAGGTCAGCAGTCTCTTATCTTAGTGTGTTATCCATTCTCTACTGGGAGTCAAGCTCTGTCTTTCATTCCCACATCTCCTGAGATTAAAACAACTCAGTTCTGAGTACTATCTTAAAGGGCAATGTTAAGCCATTAAGTAAAGTTCCTAGTTGGAAGCTTTAGAGCTGGCATTTCTCTCTGCTATTTGGAGGAACCCGGGAGTGTTTGCATGCAAAGCGGGTGGCAACAGATGGACCTCACCCAGCACTTCAGCTGGGTTTTGCAGTCCTATAACCTGTCAGGCATTGCTGGATCCAAACCACTCCAAATGAATAGTTTGGATGAGGTTTGTGTGTTGGTGGGCATTAATTAAGGCCTGCTTCAAACATGCATAGTGAGTATTGCAGAAGACAACTTTAGAGGCTGGTGAATGGCCCTGCTAACTTTGAGTTCTGTATTACAAATGAGTAAAGTAAAGGTTTCCCCTGATATTAAGTCTACTCATTTATGACTCTGTGGGTTGGTGCTCATCTCCATTTCTAAGCTGAAGAGCCAGCATTGTCCGTAGACACCTTTAAGGTAATGTGGCCAGCATGACTGCATGGAATAATAATAATAATACTAATAATAATACTAATAATAATAATAATAATAATAATGATGATGATGATAATAATAAGGCAATATGAGGATTTAAAGATCAAACTGCAAAGACTCTGGCACAAGCCAGTCAAGGTGGTCCCAGTGGTGATCAGCACACTGCGTAAAGTGCTTAAAGATCTTGGTCTGCACTTAAACACAATCAGCGCTGACAAGATTACCATCTGCCAGCTGCAAAAGGCCACTTTACTGGGATCTGCACGCATTCTTCACCGATACATCACAAGTCCTAGACACTTAGGATCAGCACACTGCGTAAAGTGCCTAAAGATCTTGGCCTGCACTTAAACACAATCGGCACTGACAAGATTACCATCTGCCAGCTGCAGAAGGCCACCTTACTGGGATCTACACGCATTATTAGCTGATACATAACACAGTCCTAGACACTTGGGAAGTGTCTGAAGTGTGATCCAATACAACAGCCAGCAGAGTGTCTGCTGTGGACTCATCTTGTTGTGTTTCAAATAATAATAAACTTTATGTATACCCTGCCACCATCTCTCCAAAGGGGACTCGGGGTGGCTACAGTACAATAAAATAAAATAAAATAAAATAAAAACAGCAAATAATGACATCAAAATAAAATACATCAAATAAAATACATCACACAGTCCTCGACACTTGGGAAGTGTCCGACGTGTGATCCAATACAACAGCCAGCAAAGTGTCTGCTGTGGACTCATCTTGTTGTGTTTCGAATAATAATATGAAATCCAGCATATATATCTCATTTGCTGTGGCATACTGTGTTTTTGTGTCAGTAAAATAATAATAATAATAATAATAATAATAATAATAATAATCTTTATTTATACCCCGCCACCATCTCCCCAAAGGATTAACATGAGGCCAAGCCCAGAATTACAGTACAACAAAATAAAATACAAACAGCAAATAATAACATCAAAATAAAATACATCAAATAACAGAAAATGCAATAAACAGATTTTTATTTATTTATTTAAAGCATTTATATTCCACCCTTCTCACCCTGAAGGGGACTCAGGGCAGAGCACAACATATAAACGGCAAACATTCAATGCCGAAACATACTAGACCATACATATACAAAAGCATTAAAATGTGATCAAGAAATAAAATAAAAGCACGGCGAGCAGGCCAAATGCACAGAATAAGATTGATAAAACCCTGGGTGAGATAAGTAAATGGAGAAGTATGTGTCTGTGGGCGAGCTCGGAAGGGGCAAACAATTAGATTGGGTCTTTATTAAAGACAAGGGAAAGTGCGTCATGAGGACAGAACTATAGTTGGGACGGACATGATATGGAG